GTTGGTGGACCGCTGGCGGACTGCTGGCGGACTGCCGGCGGACCGTTGGTGGACTCCTGGCTGACCGTTGGCGGACTGCTGGTGGACCGTTGGTGGACCGCTGGCGGACTGCTGGTGGACCGTTGGTGGACCGCTGGCGGACTGCTGGTGGACCGCCTCGGCACCCCGACCACTGGGCTTAGCAAGTTTTCTGGGGGAAACCCTGCTAATCCATTTTCAGACTTTCAGTTGGTATTTATTCACATAACCACTGGTTCTGAACTGGTTCTCAACCAGTTCAGAACCAGTTAGTGGGAATGTGATAAATCTGTAGGAGGCGCCACTGAGGCCAACAACCTCCAGTTCACAGAACAGGACTTGAGGCCCATATAGACACAGAACTGTTGCATGGTTTAGTGAAAGTGAAACCAGAACCGTCAGTAGGCTCTGTCATGTGACTCCAGCTGGCTCCTTCCCCTCCCCACCTGTGCTCAGGTAACCCCGGGTCGGCCATGAGTCCGGCTGGAGCCACGTCTCTGGAGGAGCAGCAGTACATGGAGAAGCTCAAGCAGCTGTCCAAATACATCGAGCCGCTTCGCCGGATGATCAACAAGATCGATAAGAACGAAGGTGAGCGGCTGACCTTTGACCTCTCTTTGCAGATGATTAGTTCCCCTCTGAGGAAATCCATCAGCAAGGCATTATTTATGACATGAAATGTTTATTTAAAATTGGAATAAATATTATTTAATCTTCAATTCCTTTTGTATTTAATTTATTTACTTGTTCTGTTTTTATCTTAATAAAATATTTATTGTCTTTGCAAAATCTTTTAATTGTAATTATAATTTTTGATGTTTTTTTTTATTTATGTATTAAAACCTGGTTTCCATGGAAACGGATCATTTCTAAAAAACTCATTTATAAAAAACATTTTTAAATCTGAAAATAATAAAAACTTCCTCAGACATTTTAAAAATATTAAAATCTCCTGGAGACGAAAGTTAAAATCAGTCTCTTAATTTGAGGTTTCTAGGTTTTAAATATTTTAAAGGTAAATTTCTGAACCAGGAAGCTGTCGGAGGTTCGGTCCACATTTATTGATGAGCATTTATTACATGAAATTGTACAAAGACAGGAAGTTGATGTTTGTGTTGTTGTGCTGCCAGACAGGAAGAAAGATCTGAGCAAGATGAAGAGTCTGCTGAACATCCTGACTGATCCAACCATCAGGTACCGGTACCGCCTGCAGAACTTTGACACCAGAACGGCCATTTTGACCTCACTTCACTCAGGCTGCTGAAACTTAAACTCAATACCGATGCCAAGAAAAACATTTTACACCATGGCACAAATTTCTTAATCATTAAGAAAAACTAAGAATAAAACTGTAATCTCCTTAATGAGGACAAACCAGGGAAGAATTCAGCCATTATTTCTGAAAATATGTCATTTAAAATCATCATCTCTCTGTTTAGTAAAGCAGTAAGCAAGATGGTAAAAGTGTTCATGTTATGTTAATAACTGTTCAGTGTTATTTCCTTCAGTTTGCATCTTCCCTCTTTGGGACAATAACAGATATTTCTATTCTAATATCCTTTATGGAAGTTAGTTTTCAGCTGCGTATCTTTACTGTGTTTCCTGTTGATAAATATTAAGTTTACTACAGAGGGACAAATAAAGGGTCTTTGTACCCTAAAGTAAAATATTTACTGTGTCGATGATTAGCCTGCTTAGCTTAGCTTAGCTTAGCTTAGCTTAGCTTAGCTCTGGACAGCTCTTCATGGCTTAGCGTCGTTATGCCAACTGTTTTCGACTTGAAGTCAATATGTTTGACTCGTTATAGAAAGCACTTTGCACACAACTGATACTTTCCCACTTTTCTCCTTTATGACTTAGATACCAGGAGTTTTGTGCCGTAGTCGGCGCTGCTGCTCATTATTACTGGCGAATGTAAAACTAAAGGAGCATTTCCGCCACCTACTGGCACGGAGTGTGAACTGGAACATAAAAGGACATGAAAAGGTGTGGAAAGGGAGCAATTTATAGCCTTCAATATAAATTGGCTTCCAGTTTTGAAACGCTAATTTATGAGCGCGGATGTGAACAGAGCGATGGAGAGGGAGCTCCGGCCGAACGCCGCCATCTGTCCTGCTTTTATCTCACCCGGGAAAATCAAACTACAACAGCACAAAATGGCCAAAATAGATCAAAATTATAGTATTTCATTTGTCTGTTGCACTTAAAATTTGAATTATTTATTTTACTGAAATTTTACACAATTTTATTTGATGGCGTCAATAAACCAGGCAGTCAGAGTGAGCGCCATGGCTGGTCTGGAGTTAGACAGGAGCAGCCTGCAGGTGAAGGAGTCTGTCTGGTTCACCTGCAGCTGCTTTGTCCTTCTGGCCTGCAGGTGTCCTCTGAAGACGCTGCAGAAATGCGAAATCGCTTTGGAGAAGCTGAAGAACGACATGGCCGTGGTAAGAAGAGCTCAACTTTCTGCTTCAGCCTTTTCCGCCTCGCTGGAGCTCAAACCCTGACTTGATCCGTTCAACTGTTATTTTAGCATCTTTTCTTATCACGTCCACATGATGAGGACATAAGGAGGTCCTGTGGTGGAAAATGTTATTTTCATTTAATATATGATGACTTTTCAACATAACCCCTTCTTTTGATTATAATAAAATATTCAATATTTATTAATCACATAAAATTTCAGTTTATTCTGACAGTTGTGTTTTTTTCCTTTGGTTATTTTCTAAGAAACTTTCATTTCTTGTCATTACACCAACTTAAGGAGCAAAGAACATAAGGCAGATTATTAGAAATAACATTTAAATAAATCATTTTAACTTATATTAGAAAAAAAAAATAAGATTAAAAGATTTATGTTATTTTAGTTTTGCATGTTTTCCTCATCCTCTCTGCCCTACAGCGCCCCCTTGCGGCCTGTAGAAACACTGCTCCATGTTGTTCGACTCCAACTTCACTGAATATTGTTTAGAATCATAAAAATCCTAAAATAAAACGACGTCTGAGTTTCAGCGTTTGCTAAAGCAAAGTTTCTCCTCTCTGGCTCGTCCCATCAGTGTTTCTGTCTTAATGGCGGTTCTCGGTTCTGACAGGATTCCCGTCTGTTTCAGCCGACGCCGCCCCCCCCTCCGGTTCCCACCAAGCAGCAGTATCTGTGCCAGCCGCTGCTGGACGCCGTCATGGCCAACATCCGCTCCCCGGTCTTCAACCACTCCCTGTACCGGACCTTCGCCCCCGCCATGAGCGCCATCCACGAGCCGCCCATCACGTAGGCCCCGCCCCCCGCTCTACGCCGCTTCGCCTCACCCCTTCTGACCCCTTCTCTGTTCCCCAGGGGGCCCAACGTCTGCGGGAGGAAGAGGAAGCACGAGGAAGACGAGCGGCAGACCATCCCCAACATCCTGCAAGGGGAGGTAGCGCGCCTCGACGTCAAGTTCCTGGTCAACCTGGACCCGGCCTTCTGCAGCAACAACGGCACCGTGCACCTCATCTGCAAGCTGGGTGAGACGCTGTGATTGGCTGATGGATCCTCTGATTTAGCTCCAATAATTACTATTATTGATTAGATTCATGTGAGAGAAATGGAGAATTAAATGATAAACTAGGAAGCTGAAAGTCTGCAGCTCAAATCTGAGTTCAGGAAGTAGACATCTACCTGATGATGATGATGATGAGGAGACCTAACAAACCAGCATGTTAACTGGGGAGTTAAAAGCTCTCCGTGCTCAGAATAACCAGCAGCTGCTTGGTTCAGCGAAGGAGTAAGTTTCACTTTCCTCCACATAAATCAGGCTGAACTGCAGAACCGTAGCAGTCAGCGCGATTAGCCTGCAAGATCTTTATTCCGATTTCCGACCTAAAGACATTCCAGTTATGGCGGTCGCTCTGATCCGATCTTCCTGCTGTCAGTTCAGACTGATCTGAGTCACTCACGTCGGCTGTGATCAGTAACGATGATATTCAGCATGTTGAATCGTCTCGGCCTGCTGTCGCAGTGCATGTCGTCCCAGAGGACCAAGGAGAGCGCCGCCTGGTGAATGTGACGTTTAGCCGATCGGAAAGTGAAGCAATGGAAACATGGAGGGGAATCCAAAACAACCGCCATGACGCACCAGAAAGTTCAGTGGACGTTGTAAAAAAAAAAAAAAATCTACAAAATAGCTTCACTGCTTTTTTCTTGTCAGCCATGTTTTTTGACTCTGGACTCTCGTTTGATCTCGAGAGATTTTGTGAGATTTCCCATCTGATACTGATATACATAAACCTGTTATAGCAGTTTTATTTCTTATTGTCATGTGTGATCTCTAAGCTTTGAAAAATCAACCAACTATTTCTAAACCAGGCTTCAGCAGCAGGACGTTATTCGATCCATTAGTTCTCTCAACAGTTTGATTCTTAAATAATAGAGATGTTCTCTCCGTCCTTTGGCTCAGGCACTGAGGAAAAGCAATGGAGGACAGTTTAAAGGAAGTGATTTTAGGTTTAATGTGACCAGCTGCAACTCCAAGGCACCGCCCATATAAGGAAGTGCTTCCTGCTGTTTCTTTCACCAGAAATGCTGCAGGATATCAGATTTGATCATTTTCTACCATAATGCGTTAGCTGTAATCGTTAGGTTTTCATCAGCTCCAGTTCTGGTTTTGTCACCTTGTTGCTCTTTGTCCCCAGACGATAAAAACCTGCCCAGCGTTCCTCCGCTGCAGCTCAGCGTTCCTGCAGACTACCCGGATCAGAGTCCGCACTGGGCCGACGACGGAGACCAGTACGGTGAGGAAACGGGATTCCAGCGTCCTGATGGGTTTATTTCTCCAGGATTGAATCTGCGGCGCCTCTGAAGCGTCTAAATGTTTCTGCTGTGTCTCAGGTGCCAACGGCTTCCTGCAGACGGTCCACAGGAACATGACGTCCAAACTGCTGCAGCTTCCTGACAAACACTCGGTGACGGAGCTGCTCAACACCTGGGCCCAGAGCGTCCGGCAAGCCTGCCTGTCCGCCGCCTGAAGCCCCGCCCACTGCTTGGAGCTCCGCCCACTCAGCCACCACAGTATCTCACTACATTCAGGTCCGGTTCAAACTTCACCGGATTAAATGAACTGCTGCTCACCTGGTTACCTGGCAATCAATCAGCCGCCAGCCCTGAATGCATCACACTTTAGTTTTTCTGTCAAACGTTTGAAACCCGGCAACAAATAAAGATTTATCTGCTGTTTTTATAAATAAAATCCATTTCATCATGAACTTCAGTGTCACTTCTCTGGTTTGTCTCTCACTAAAGTTTTTACGCCCCATTCAGCTGAGGCCAGAGTTCAAGCAGCTCAGGTTGCTTAAAGGTATCAGTCAGGGCAAGTGTGAGTTAATCAGATTTCTATGATAGGGTTAATTCATTTCTCTTGTTTGAAACTGATTAGTTTTGAGAAACTTGGAGTTTCTCATTCTTAGTTCTTTACTGATAAATATCAGAGACATTAAAATTAAGTTTGAATGAATTTCTCATTTTTTAGTATTTTAGACATTTTTTCAACTATTCCCATGTTTTCTATATTCTGATAATCACCTTTTTTTCTTAGTCTGGTTCCAATATGGTGTCATAAATACGGAGCTCAGAAAAAGTATTTTTTATTTTATTTTCCTGCCTAAAATCTCCTAAAGGAGCAAATTTAACAGGTCCTGGATGCGTTAACGGGTCCCAGCGGACGGCAAGTGATGAAAGTTACAATCGGTGAATTGCAACAAAGACTGGATTTTATTTAGAGTTCGTCCTGATTCTGGTTCCGATCCGGTCCTGGTTCTGGTCAAAAGCTGAGGGAGAAGGCTCTGTAGGACAGGTTGGTGAAGACGTCGATCTTGCTGCTGCCGCCGCCGACCGTCAGCACCTGGAACACCAACACACCTGTCACCAGGTCCCGCCCCTCACCCTCAGCCCCGCCCCCTCCGCGGTGCGTTCAGGGTCTCACCCGGTGCTCAGAGCTCTTTGTGTTCAGCTGCAACGTGTTGAGGCTCGGTGGCGTGCACGGGATCTGACCTTTGACCTCTCCTCCCAGAAGGCAGTGGGAGACGAAGGCACCGTCGCCCACAGCGAGTATCTGCACACACACACACACACACACACACAGAGTGAGGCTGCAGCGCGGCCTCCAGCCTGCGGGGGTGCTGTGTGTCTCCTCACCATGTCCTGGTGGAAGGCGGCCCGGCGCTGGCAGCCGCTCAACGGGAACACCGAGGTCGGCGACAGCGAGCGCAGATGCCACAGGGACAGAGACGGGCCGCCGCCGCACAGCTGCATTGCCATAGCAACCAGTCAGTAACATGAAATCACATCTGGGTCTGCAGCTTCAACGCACAACCTCTTACCATCCAATCAGAGTCCGTGGTCAGGCAGCTGATCCACTTCCCGTGCTGAGGCCTGGCGCAGCTCTGAAACGAGAGGTCAAAGGTCAGCAGCTCTGAAAGAAGAGGTCAAAGGTCAGCTGGTCAAAGCTCAGAGCTCACCTCGTACTTATGAACCTCGATGCAGTGGACGCTCTGCCCCGTCCTGCAGTCTGAACGACACACCATCATCACCACCACCACCATCATCATCATCATCAGAACGGCCACACGGCGGCGCCGCCTGCTGCTCACCCCACATCCTTACGGCGCCGTCCTCGCTGCCAGACAGAAGCTCCGCCTCCCGCTCACGTATGCACACGCAGTGCACGTAATCCGTGTGACCCTGCAGGGTCGCCTGAAGGGGTCAGAGGTCAGAGGTCTGTCACATGACCAGACATCAGCTGCAGAAGAGGACGAAGAAGAAGATGATGCACCTTGAAGGCGCCATGCTCCAGGTCCAGGATGTGGACGTTGTTGTCCCCCGCTCCGATCGCCAGGCTGTCGTCCTGGAAACACATCGTCGTCATCATCATCATCATCAAAAAGGTACAGCCAGTCAGAGGTCAGAGGTCAGTGTGTGCTCTCACTCGAGGGTTGATGGCCATGGAGTTGATCTCTGGAATCTCCAGACTGGACCTGAAGGCAACAGAGACGTGAGACAGGAAGTGGAGAACAGACAGACAGGAAGTTGAGGACTCGTCCTCACTTGTAGTTCGGCCTCTTCGTCCACAGCGGCTTCACGTTCTGATGAGACACAAAGGTCATCATTTAACTCTTGACCTTCCAGCTGCTATGCATTAACCTATGGCAAGCTGTTAACAGCCATAATCAGACATTTCCTTAAAAACCACCTGCAGATTTTAAACCACCTGAAACACGTACTGTCATTGAACGCACCACTTTCGGCTCTGTTGGTTTCTTTCTTGTGGGAGTTTCACCACTTTCACATCACTGACATGTTGAACTGATTTTTAGTTTCTGTACCAGGTGGGTTGAATCTGTGCTGATTTTTGGCTCTGATGGCTTTCCGTAGTTTCCGTACCTTCTTGATGAGTTCGGTCCAGTTCCAGGCGCTAACCTCGCCGTTCCCTGCGCTCAGCAGGACGGAGTCGGTGGACAGCAGACTGAAGACAGGACCTTCATGAGCTGCAGAGGACAGGCAGGATTCAGAGACTCACCAGAACCGGACCAGAACCGGACCAGAACCAAACTTCTAGTTTATGCTATAAAACATTTTTTTTAATTCATCCGGGGAAAAAAACTAAAAGTTTGGTGAAAATGCCTTTTTTTGTTGTTGCTTGATTTAAAATTTTCCAAGTTAATTTGTACCCGTTGACTTGTTTTAATAACACTATGAAAACTCTCCAATATCACAGATTTTTGTTGCATAAAACAATAATCTGCAGGTTTTCTACTTTAAAAAGTTATTTTCTGTGTTTATCTTGACTCAGGTGAGGCTACAGGTGAGATTTGACAAATTTTTTTATAAATCAAGCACGCTGCTCAGTCTGGCAGGCCTCACCTGTGAACGTTAGAACAGGCTTCTGGTTGGCCGCCGTGGCGTCTGGACTGAGAGCCGCAGCCAGGCTGAAAACACAGCGTGGTGACAGGTGAGAGCTGCAAGCTGAGGACAGGTGAGGGAGGTGGGTGCGTTTGTTTCGTCTCACCTGAACAGGGCGATCTCTCCATAGTTGTTCCCAGCCGCCAGGAAGCGGCCGCAGGGAGAAAAGCTTTGGGAGAAAACCGACATGTGGAGGAGCTGCAGACAGAGAAGGCGCCACGGCGACGAGTCGTTAGTTAAAGCCAGTTGGAGAGGATCAAAAGTCACCATGGTAACCTTAAAATGTTGCTTCGGTGAAAACTTTCAGGAAATTATTAAAAACAAACACATTTATGAATCTGATATCTCAGTCAGCTTTTCTGGGTAACCCTGAACCTCCTCAGAACCAGAATCAATGTCTTCAGTCAGAGGCTTCTACATATTCGCTGTGACACAGACTGCTACAGGAGATTCTTCCTGCTCAGAGCCGTCATCATCTACAACAGCTCTGAAGAACCTGATGGGAGTAAAGTAGCATTCAGTTTCCCTCTGGGGGAGCAATAAAGTACTAAAGGCCCATCTTAAAACGCGCATGCTCAGTTTTCATTTGGCTCTAATCGAGCCCCTGCAGAAACAATGACCCGGGAGGTGGTGACCTCTGACCCAATTCAAACTATTTCCTGTTTAAAACACTCTAAACTGATCTAGAGTCAGCCCGAATTAAACGCCACACCGAACCGAATCTGATAATCTTTCTAATGTTTCATTTGATATCTGGACTTTTAATTAATAAGGAAACAAATCTTATTTTTGCTTAATTTAAAACCGAGTCCTTTTCTTCGTGAAGAATAAAACTTATGCGCCCGAAAAAGGAGAAAATTAACAGAAATTTTCACTATTAACCTTTTAGCTTCTCAGCTTGTTAAAGAAAGAATTTCAAAATATTTTAATGCTGCTTCTAAAACATGATGAACAGAAACAGCGCAGCAGGTTTCTAGCGTTTCCGTCCCTGAACTTCCCAGAGATCCCACGGAAACACGGAGGAATATGGACTGAAACAAAGTTCACCTCTACGGGTCCCATCCTGGCCTCTGGATAATCCTGGTTCTGGAAAAACTGTAGGAAAAACAAAGAACTCAGGAACAAGCAGGAACCCAAACGGAGCCACAGGAGGGAAACACACGGACAGGACGCTGGAATATGACGTCAGCGCCTCAACACGGCATTCTGGGACATGTAGTCCAGCAGCGGCCAGGAGGAGCTCAGAAACTCAGAACCCATAGTGGCACCAGAACTTTACATATCTTTGAGGCGTACTGGTATTTTTATTTTGTGTGTGTGTGTGTGTGTGTGTGTGTGTGTGTGTGTGTGTGTGTGTGTGTGTGTGTGTGTGTGTGTGTTTATGCAAAAGGTCAACTCATCAGTTTTAACTTTAGAAGTTGAGAACTACCTGAAATTTACATGCAGATTTAATACGGTTTGAAATATGCGCCTCCTGCAGCTCAGGGGGTTTGTTGTTGCTGCTGCTGTTGGTTTTTAGATTATTCTATGAGGTTTTTTTTTTCACTTTTCTCTTTTCTTTGTTGTTTTCCCATCATTTGTGTTCCTCTGTTATTTGTGTTTTTGTTGTGTTCGTTATGACTGGCTGTTATAACCTCAGCTTGATGTGTTTTCCCTTTGAGTTGGGTGTGTTATTGTTTGACCACACAGAGGGCCGGCCCAAAACACAAGCAAACTAAGCTGGTGTTTAGGGCCCTTAAACCATCAGGGGCTTCCCATTGATGCTTGCTTTTTTGCTTATACTATTGATGTACACTTTTCACATTTGTTCATTGAGAATGAGAAGATAATTACATTTGTTGACATTTTCAGCATTAATAAATTAAAGTATATATTATTTTACAGTGACATTTAAAGGAATTATCTTCATTGTTAATTGTGTTGTTACAATCTAACCGTTGAATTCTTTAGATTTGAGTTTGGTTTGTTCACAAATAACTAATTATCTGTGACTGCTTTTAGGGTCAGTCAATTAAACGGAGACCTTTTTCATAAATATGTGTTAAAACTGTTCATTAACTGGAAGAGGGGCCCCACATCAAATTCAGCTCAAGGCCCCATTCAGACCTAGGTCGGTCCTGACCACACAGATTCATTTACATAATTACCAGACTAATATCTGAAGATGTTTTCCTTTGAGGCGGGGTTCGGTTCGGTTTGGACCTTGATGCCGCGGAACGCTGTCATGTTTGGGATCATGCGCCGCGCCGCTCGGCTCGCCGCGCGCGGCAGCGGCAGGAAGTGTGCTGCTGAAGCGGCGGCGGGGGGACACAGCAGAAAAAGTCGGAGGGTGAGCAGGAGGAGAAAATAAGCATGTCTAATCTGTGAAAGGTGCACAATCTGCGGGTCCAGGCCGTGCATCCTTCTGCTGGCGGGCGCAGAGGCCAATCGAGGGGTGAGTTTGTGGCGGAAAACGGAGGAAAGCCGATGTTTTCCATGAAAGGGGGGCCGCGGTGTGTTTGTCGGGATCTTTGTGTAGCTCGGAGCTAGCTGCGCTGCCAACCGCGGTTAGCTGCTGCAGCGGAGGCAGCTTTCCGGCACTAAATGTGAAGGAAATTCCGAGACCAGCCTCCAAGCTGGACACGCAGCTATGCGGGACTGCTGGACGTGCGTTTTTCTCTTGCTGTTTGGTTGTGCCTAACTTCCGCTTTTCTGTTTTCTCTCATCGCGGAGATGCTAATCGCTAGCCAGGCGCTAACCGTTAGCTCGGCCGAGCATCAGCTCCCTCCTCCGCCTCCTCTGCTCTAAATATCCGTTATTTGACTCTGAAATGACCGCGGGATACTCTTCCGGGGTTCGGCACCATATTGGGTCGGTGGACTGGGCTTGGAGCTCGGCTGGATCAAAGAGGGTCTGTGTTTGTGATTAAAAAGCGAGCTAACCCCGTTAGCTGCGGTAAAATGGCTCGGCGTCGCGGCTGAAAGCCATTTCAGATATTCGTGGGGTCTCAGTGGGAGTGGGCTGATGGCTGCAGGTGGCGCCCCGCATCATGTCGGGAACACTCGGTGCTCCGCCGCGCCGCGCCGGCCGCCCCCCGCAGCGCAGCGGGTGACGGAGCGCGGCTCCCCGCTCAGACAGGAAGGTCCGCGGCTGGAAATGTCGGATCGCCCCGCTTTGTCCGGATGGACTCCTGCCGAGGCCGAACCGGGGCGGGAGGAGACGGGCCAAGGTCAGGCGGCCCCGGGCGGCTGTCTGGGTCCGGTCCGGCTCTGTTCGGGCCAGGAATCGGGTGGGGAACCGGAGCAGCAGCGGGACCGTTAAAGCGGGTCAGACCGGGGGTGTGTGAACGGAGCCGGGCCGTTCCGGTCGGGTTGAGGCCTCAGCAGGTTTGTTTACATGATGAGCTGAAGGGAAAGTTGTGATTGGCTGCAGCTCAGCTTCACACCTGAACTCTGAACCCGCTGCTGCAGCATCATGCTGAGGTGTGAACAGTTCCCTGGAAAACCGGCTTCTGGGGTCATAAACCGGACCAGAGCCACCATGCCAGTATCACCGGGTGTCAGTTGTTTGGTAGTAGGCCCGTCGCAATAAACAATAAATAAAAACTAGCTCAGTAATTTCCATTTTCATTATTTATCGTTTTTCTCTTTCTACCAAAATCTGAATGATAAAAGTCTTCAGCCTGGTGTTTTGGTCTCGACTCGCCATTTTTTTCTTTATTTTGGATATTTAAAATGTCTTCCAGTTCTCGTGTTAAATGTTAAGTAGATTTTTTCCATGAATTAATCCTTTTATTTCTGTTAATTATGATGGTTTTCATTAAAAATTAAAATATTACATCAGACTGATAAAAAGCTGGTTTTAAAAACAGAAGTGTGGATTGATGAAAAGTGTGTTTAATACTTATAGACTATTTCAAAATGTGCTTTTAACAATAATGTATAATAATATATAATATCAGCTTAAATATGAGTATAAATAAGTTTATTGGTGTTGGTGGTTGTCTGATTGGTTGCATCAGAAAAACTTGAACTTTTATTTTTCTAACGTTTGCAGTCGGTTCTTAGAGGATGCAGGAAAACCGTCCAGCTGTTTACACTTATCGGTTTTTATTGATTTATTATCAGCATGGAGCCCAAATCTGGACCAAACTCTGAAGATGGTTAAGCATGTAAACATTCACTAATAGTCTCTGTGCTATGAGTTGGTCGTATGGACTTAAAGTTTTAGGTAACACTTTATTTGAAGGGGTGAATAAGACTGTCATGACACTGTCATAAACATGACAACACATGTCATGAACATGAATAAGCCTTCATGAATATTTATGACTGTTGTCATAAAGCGTCATTCGGTAAATTATGACACTTTTAATACAAAGTTGACATTATTCAAAATATCTTTGTTATGACAACTTGACATTAACCAAGAAATCATTACTGTTTAAACTTTACCTTTAATAACATAAAGTTACCTAAAATCAGTAATACTTTTATAACAAATTTATATCAGTAATGATTTCCTGGTTAATGTCAAGTTGTCATAAAAAAGACATTTTGAATAATGTCAACTTTGTATTAAAAGTGTCATAATTTACCGAATGACGCTTTATGACAACAGTCATAAATATTCATGAAGGCTTATTCATGTTCATGACATGTTATGTCATGTTTATGACAGTGTCATGACAGTCTTATTCAACCCCCTTCAAATAAATTGTTACCAAGTTTTATCCTGATATCTTGTGATGCTATTGTGATGATGATAAAAGTGACAATACACTGCAAAATCACAAAATCTTACCAAATATCTTTGGTGTAGTTTCTGGTGCAAATATCTTAGTACACTTGAAATAAGACAAAAATAACTTTCATTTTTATATTGATGAAAAGGTTTTATTCCTGCTGGCAGATTATTTCACTTATAACAAAACATTTTTCCTGATGGTGGAATTAGAACTTTTTCATCAATATTGAGGAATTATTGACTCATATTTCATGCTGAAAAGTTACATTTAAGATATTTGTATTAGAAATGGTATTTGTGTTTTCTATAAATATTACTAAGGTTTTGTTTTGCAGTGTAAAAACTATTGATTATTTGTTTTTTTTAGGTAACTGTGTCTGGATGGCACAACAATTATAGCTTCACAAATTCAAATAACGCTTCTGAAAAACTTTCCCATTTGTAATGAGCGACTTTAGAACATCCACACAAAGAAGAGTGATTGATATCAATAAACTGCACACAGTAACTGTATTTCCTAATGTATTGGTATTTATTGATGCTTTCGTTAAACAAACAGTGGAGAAAATAATGAAACTATTGCTGATAAGGAAAGTTTTGGGTTTTTTTAAACTTCATTAATTGGAATTTATTGTGACAATGATAAATCAAAATTCTAATAAGAAATTTATTATGATAGATGATGATGGATGAATGCCCAGCCCTACTGTGGTTTCAACCATAAATAAGAAAACCAAAAGGTTTATCTTCTTGTGAGAGAAACTGGAGGGACAGAGAGGACGTCCAGCTCTGAGTGGGATCTGCTCCTGTTTGCTGTTTTATTGTACATCCTGTTAACCTGCAGGCAGGTGAAGCGCTGATGGTCACATGACCCAGAACAAACACGGGCCGGGTCAACACTGGAACCGGCTGCTTCCTGCTGCTTCAGGCAGCGGACCAGTCAAACCCAAACTCCTTCCTCCTCTTCCTTCAAACAGGAGCCTGATTTTAACTGGGCCAATATTGTCCCGTCTGGCTGCCACAGGATGTCCAAAGTGTGGCCCGGGGACCGTCTGCAGCCCTCAGAATGATTCTATGCGACTCCCAACAACAATCGCAGCTTTGGCCCAGCAGAGACACTTGAGAGAGATTCAGACACAGCTAGTGATGTTTTCACCAAGAGAAGAAACATTTCCTACAGTGGGAAATGTTATGAATAATTAATCAAGTTTTATGTTTAAAATCAAATTTCATAGTAAAACCAGCTGTCTGTGGTCTTATTGCTAAAGCTACATGGTTGCTAACAGAGGTTAGAACTGTGATTGATTTATACAAATAAACCTGCTGTATTACTGTCATTGTAACATCGAACGTTGTACAATGAAATGCAATTCTCCAGTGAAAAACAATGTCTCATTAAAAACCAGACTATGAATAATTAGACTTTTCCCTCGACAAAAAGTTAACTGAAAACTCAAATGGACATAAAAACAGGCGAGGT